TTCCCAACACTGTCTGTATCACACTGCAGTAAAAACTAAGTGTTGCACACAGGGACTCTGTCTCTGTGTGTATCCTTGTATACTTATTTATGTGTTTTTTTTGCTCACTTCAGCCCATTGTCGCTACCCTGCCAGAGGAGAGTGGGGGGGCCAGAGTCACGTAAATCAAAGCGTCGCATCATGGAGACACAGGTCAGTGCCTCTGTCTTCAACTCAGGGGAAGGGGGGGGAGGAGGTCTGGGGCACAAAACCTCTCTGGTATTTTTTCCTTTTTTTCCATTTTTTTTTCATGCATCCAGGTAAACAGCTCTCTGCGATCCAAATAACCTGTCAGTCAGAAACTGTGATGAAGGTTCATTTCGCAGTCGAGATCAGTCTGTGTCTTTTTACACCGAGTGCAGCTCAGCGCCTCATATTTTTCTTCTCCCTTTCGCTGTATGTTGAAAGCCTGCTGATGCTTTACAGTCTGCTGTTCGCATAAAGGCTAGCACGTGAGAGATGAAGTGTAGTGTATGTGGCTCAGTTAAAATGTATAATTCAAATGCAATCTTGGCTGCTCATGTATTTCACCAACACCTGCAGTTCAGCGCCACATTTATCTTGATCATCAAATCCAATTCCCAGCGGACTGCACGGAAACAAGGAGCATCACACGCGGCGGTTACTATTTTTACACGGCATTCTTACGGTGCTCATTGTACTTTGTCGTCCTACACATCAGTCATCCATGTATGTGCACATACAGTAATCCTGGAACAATACGCTCTGCAGAGCACTCGTTTCCACTCTGGCACATCCAGGCCCCATTGTGCCCCGTTTGATTGATGCTAATCCCCGTCCGTCTTGGAGGAGCTGCTTCCTTGCACTGTGGAAAGTGAGATGGGAAGGAATGCTGATATGCGTATCCCGGGATCACTTCCAAGTGCACTTTGCAGTCAATTACAGTTTGGCCAGGTGGCGCTGGCACCTTGACAGTCCAGCACTGACGGAGCACATCCATTTAAAGGCACAGATGTCGACGAAGGCCACTGCATAATAATCCCATCCTAATAGCAATGCTGGAGAAGGGAATGATAATGGGCTCACTCTGGTGCTATATGTCACAGTCCAGTGATGAGAAATCTTTAGGTGGCATCCTCCGAGATGATGCCTCCAGTGATTGATGGCTCTGATGATCTTCTGATGTTTTTACTTGTCATGGGTCATGAGTCGCCGCAGAGCAGCACTATGAGATGTGCTATGGAATGATGCGTCTAAGGGAGACATCCTACTGCTGTGTCTGATGAGCCTTGATGATGCGGCATCCTGTTATGTATTTAAAGAAAAAAGAAA